TTTTGTCGTTAATTACAATTTCACTGCTATCATAGTATACAGTTAACGATTACTTTTCAATGCTAAGATTCAACCTCTTTGCTACACGACACAACATCTCGCTGTTTCTACTGTAAATATTCAGATGTGCTCTATTCTTTACTTCATCAGTCCAGACATTTACTTCATTTAAGTTATATTATTACCATAGCCACCTTTATTTTCTCTGATGATTGATTTGTTTTTTTTTACGACTTATTAACTTTTGGGGAATTGTTTAAAGGCGAAATATATTTTGGGATTATAAGTATTTTTTGGAGATTATAATGATTTTCTGATGTAATTCTTATTAGTTAACACATAGGTGGGAGGAGAAGAGGTGTATTTCCTCTGTAGTTCAACTATAAGGAAAAAAGTTTCGCTCAGAAAGCTTTTTCATAGAACTGCTAATTTGTTAGCAGTGCAATTTTAACCTCTTTAAGTTAAAGGTCATTCGTTATCTGTCACCTTTAACCTCATAATCCCCATATCCTACCTCTGCATTTTACGTTCATATCACACGTTCAATATAACATTTTTAATAATAACACTCTAAATTGAGTGGCTCTTGTGTCTTAAGTGAACGTTTTCAAGAATGTTTACTCTTCAAACAATTCTTTTATTACATGCTTCTTTTTAATGCGTAGAGGATAGACGTTTTTTTTTAATATAGGAACCCGTAGAAGTACGAAAGTAATTAAGAAACATTCATTTATATATTCGTATCGCATCAACAACTCAACAATGTCAGAAACTGTTGTAGAGTACGAAAAGGTTTTCTTCCTCCGTATGAATCCGAATCCCTCGTCGCCAAATTGTTATAGAATAGTTTCACAGTGAAGGCATGTATTTCACTAAGTCGGTCCTAAAAAGGTTCAACGTACAAAACGTTAGAAACTTGATATAATAGTTAATGACGCAGCAATCTAGTTGTGGTGGCTGAAAATTTAATGTCCGACTTCGACTGACTAACCAACTCACTGAGGATATTTAGTCACCACCCACGAGGGCATCATGTGGCACAAGGCCGGTTTAACGTGGGATCTCCGAGCCCGTGGGCTCGGCCAAAAATATGCCCATTGAACCCGTATAAACGGGTTCAGGGTTGGTTTACCTCCCCGAAAGAGAATCCACCCTTCGGCGTAGCCTCTTTCGGGTTCCTCCCCGCCTGAAGGCAGAGAGTTCAACCGGTCAGCTGGTCGTCCGACTTCAGACTGAACTCAGACTAACTCACTGAGCTCCCTGGCGACTGCTACTACTACTACTTATTATATGTGGGAGAGTCTATTAACAATAGAATAAATGTGTTTCAGTATAACAGAAAGATTTCTCCATAATTAATATTAGTTGTTTTAAATAAAAATAATTATATGAAATGTCTAGTCTCTAATTCTAATATGTCGTCGTAAAATAAGATTTATTCCAAAATTGATATTTATTTCCAGAAATAATATAAATAAAACGAGAATATTATATAGTTTGACTGATCTATCTCGCTCCAGTGAAGGTCATATTGTGGCTATTTTATGAGTCATTAATATTTTTTAACCATATCCCCCCATGCAAGGCAGTAAAGTCACTAAGACACAAGGGTTTGCTGAGATTGAAAGAATAAGTCAGTTAAAAAGAGACTTCTCAGTTGGACTCACATGAAAACGTTAGAGATAAAGGGTAAAAATACTATAGTATCATTTTCATCTGTCCGCGAATCTCATAAACGTATTGGAAAAATAGAAAGAGGGGAATTTAAACTCCCTGTGAGCTTTCGCTTGAGAACCGAACATAGCATTCCACCATCCGAAACAGTCATTTAATCAGATATCATAACCTTTCACTTGTGCATCACATTATTGCAGGTGATAAAAATGGGATTAGACTGTCAACAGAAAACGTAAAAGACAGTGGTCATCACAAAATGAGAGAATCTAACCTGAAAAGTGTCATCCATTATGAGCTACTTGATCATGGAAGAACCATGCCTGTACACATTTATTACAATCAACTTGATTGAGTAAACAAAACATTATACAAACAGTGCTTGCCTTTAGTAAACAGAAAAAGTGTTATTATTATTCTTTAAATGAGGAATATAAAATTTTCATTTGCGTTGAGCTGCAGTTGTTGAAAATGAAGGTGATTACATTTTTGAAGCATTTATTTTCTTTCCGGTAAAACATAATTATTTTCCGAAGTCTTAATATATATAGCCAAAAAGTAGGATCTGGTGAAGATCCAAAATAAAGTTAAATAAACCATGCTCGCAACACAATTCTACTTCAAACGTAAACAAAACAGACATCTGTTTACCTTCCATTCTACGTCATTGATAATCACCACTACGATCAAAAGTAAACGATTTTGACACAACGTCGAAAATCTGACTTGCAGCTGTAAAAGAAATTGCAAGAGACTGATACATCTACACACAAAAAAACCAAAAAAAACCCAAAAAACGAAAAACAATACCCTGTCCGATGGCAAAAGTTGCTGATGCCGTCAGGGGAGGCAGTGCCACATTAGTCACCAAAATTGTGTTAGCACTACCCTGAGAGCTGACGAAGACAGGGTATCACACGTTGTATGTAGAAAATTGTTATACTCAAATCTGTTGCGTTTTATTATAATAACTTGCTTCGATAATATTTTTGTCCTCCAGGGTAAATAATACAAGAAATAATAAATAAAAAGATAACTTTCAGATTTTGAGTTCATTTCACAACTTTTTCGTATTTTGTGTTACTTGTTCTTGTCGAAATGTTTATCAAGTGTTGTTAAAAAGAGCAGTAATAATAAGCTGAAAAAGCTAATAATAATATTGATAAATGCGGTGAATAATATGCCATGCATGGCTCTCATGGCTTCTTTTATTTATTGGGTGTATTAACCACCACATGTTTAATTTTGATGAGTTCAGTCAGTTAACTGCCATACGCGATGCACTCATTGGGTGATCATGTCTCTTTCTATTCATTACTAGAAGAAGACTTTATCTTCCATTCTACATGATTAATAACGGTCACTACGAGCGTGTTGTATATTTTAACAAAACATTAGAAATTTCAGATGCAGTTATAAAAAGAAACCGCAAGACACTGACATGTATACAAAAACAATAGCTGTTGGTGGCGCCAGGGGTGGCAGTACCGCCTTAGAAACCGAAACGGTGTTACCTCACCTAACGTTGTATGTAGAGAACACACACGCACACACATATTAATTAATCTCTTTTCTCTCTCTCCCTACCACACACTAAGACATACACATAACGCACACACTCAATTTAGCTGAAAAATCGAATCATCCTTGATCATGGCTAAAATATAGCCGAAAGCGATCGGAAATATAAAACATTTGAACAGCTTTTACACACCCTTTGTCCAGAAAAGAAAGCTCTTGTTCGAACACAAGAAAAATTAAATAAAAAGCTTAACCGTAGTATCTTGTCTGTCGTTTTTAATGAAATATGCATAAAGGAAGCATTGCTGTATATATATATATATATATATATATATATATATATATATATATATATATATAAAAAATAGAAAATTAGAAAATCAAATAATATATATATATATATATATTAAAAATAGAAAATTAGAAAATCAAATATATATATATATATTATTTGATTTTCTTTCTTAAGAGAAGAGACAAGAAATTGTACAGAAAAAATGCAAAGAGAAAATTAGTTTAACAAAATGCAGAAAATATTTTAAAAAATGTCGAAAGTGGTAGATACATTTGCGAAGAAAAATGAAATCAATAATATATGACTAAGTAATGAATCAATGTATATATTATAGAGTGAAAAAAAGCCTAGATTATTATTAAATCGATAAAAGGACAAGTAACCTGGCCAACTCGCTACCTTGCTAACTAGATAGATAGATAGATAGATAGATAGATAGATAGATAGATAGATATGAACAGACTGAAAGAGATAGATAGATAGATAGATAGATAGATAGATAGATAGATAGATAGATAGATGATATATGAACAGACTGAGATAGATAGATAGATAGATAGAATAGATAGAACAGGCTGAAGAGATAGATAGATAGATAGATAGATGAATGAAGATAGATAGATAGATAGATAGATAGATGAATAGATATGAACAGGCTGAAAGAGATAGATAGATAGATAGATAGATAGATAGATAGATAGATAGATAGATATGAAAGATAGAGATAAGCGAATTTAAAAGAAAATAGAATGGGAATTATTTGAAATGGATAGATAGATGTGAACAGACTGAGATAGATAGATAGATAGATAGATAGATAGATAGATAGATAGATAGATAGATAGATGTTCAATGGCGGACATAGGAAATGATGACCTAGGTGTGGTTAACCTTATATCTCCTACATGACAAGTATTCACGCGTAAGTATTCATTCAATGATCACATATGTCACTTGTCATGCTGGCTTCAGTTGACTTTGCCCTCTGCTTGTTGACCCTTCTTGGGGAGAAAATAACACAAAATAAGTTGTCGCTGTTGGAGGTGGTGATAAGTGGGAACATCACACCGTAGGGAAACACTGGATAATAAAACGACTTTTTCTTTTTCTTTTTTTTTTTTTTTCTTTTTCCTCTAACTGGCAAGAACAGGATCTAGAGATAAGTTGAACGTAATAAAAAGAAAATAGAATGGGAATTACTTTTTCAACAATGAAGCATGATCTTATTCTACCACTACCACTCACAACACATTTGGAAGGTTCTGTGTCATTTATTAGTTTTTATTTTATTTTATTTCACCCCCATTTCTCCTTCTCCACTCCTCACATCCCTTCAATAACTTTCAAATATCAATCACAACGCCTAAATGATTTACCTTGACCTCTTAAAGGGGAAAACACCTGTGCGTTGGTGTTAGGGTTAGGGTTAATACACTCGGCCATTGACCATCCCATTGTTCACTTGTGGGCATTGTAGTGACCGAATGAATACATCTAAAGAGCAAGTTGCATGCATCAGAATCATGGCTTTTTCTTTCTTCATCAGTGTGATCAAAATCTGTTTATCTGCCTATTTATCTATTTATCTCAGTCTGTTCATTTTCTTTCTTTCATTATCAGTCTTTTCATCTATCTATCTATCTATCTATCTATCTCAGCCTATTCATTTTGTTTCCTTCTTTCACAATTTGTTCATTATCTATCTATCTATCTATCTATCTATCTATCTATCTATCTATCTATCTATCTATCTATCTATCTCAGCCTATTCATTTTGTTTCCTTCTTTTACAATTTGTTCATTATCTATCTATCTATCTATCTATCTATCTATCTATCTCAGCCTATTCATTTTGTTTCCTTCTTTCACACTTTGTTCATTATCTATCTATCTATCTATCTATCTCAGCCTATTCATTTTGTTTCCTTCTTTCACAATTTGTTCATTATCTATCTATCTATCTATCTATCTATCTATCTATCTATCTCAGCCTATTCATTTTGTTTCCTTCTTTCTCACTTTTTTCATTATCTATCTATCTATCTATCTATCTACCTATCTATCTATCTATCTATCTATCTATCTCAGCCTATTCATTTTGTTTCCTTCTTTCTCACTTTGTTCATTATCTATCGATCTATCTATCTATCTATCTATCTATCTATCTCAGCCTATTCATTTTGTTTCCTTCTTTCACATTTTGTTCATTATCTATCTATCTATCTATCTATCTATCTATCTATCTATCTCAGCCTATTCATTTTGTTTCCTTCTTTCACACTTTGTTCATTATCTATCTATCTATCTATCTATCTATCTATCTATCTATCTATCTATCTCAGCCTATTCATTTTGTTTCCTTCTTTCACACTTTGTTCATTATCTATCTATCTATCTATCTATCTATCTATCTATCTATCTATCTATCTATCTCAGCCTATTCATTTTGTTTCCTTCTTTCTCACTTTGTTCATTATCTATCTATCTATCTATCTATCTATCTATCTATCTATCTATCTATCTATCTATCTATCTATCTCAGCCTATTCATTTTGTTTCCTTCTTTCTCACTTTTGTTCATTATCTATCTATCTATCTATCTATCTATCTATCTCATCTCTATTCATTTTGTTTCCTATTCATTTTGTTTCCTTCTTTTTCATTATCTCACTTTGTTCATTTTGTTTCCTTTATCTATCTATCTCTATCTCTATCTATCTATCTATCTATCGATCTATGTATATTCGTCTGTTCATTATCTATCTATCTATCTATGTATATTAGTCTGTTCATTATCTATCTATCTATCTATCTATCTATCTATCTCAGCCTATTCATTTTGTTTCCTTCTTTCACAATTTGTTCATTATCTATCTATCTATCTATCTATCTATCTATCTATCTATCTATCTATCTATCTCAGCCTATTCATTTTGTTTCCTTCTTTCACAATTTGTTCATTATCTATCTATCTATCTATCTATCTATCTATCTATCTATCTATCTATCTATCTATCTCAGCCTATTCATTTTGTTTCCTTCTTTCTCACTTTGTTCATTATCTATCCATCTATCTATCTATCTATCTATCTATCTATCTATCTATCTATCTATCTATCTATCTCAGCCTATTCATTTTGTTTCCTTCTTTCTCACTTTGTTCATTATCTATCTATCTATCTATCTATCTATCTCAGCCTATTCATTTTGTTTCCTTCTTTCTCACTTTGTTCATTATCTATCCATCTATCTATCTATCTATCTATCTATCTATCTATCTCAGCCTATTCATTTTGTTTCCTTCTTTCACAATTTGTTCATTATCTATCTATCTATCTATCTATCTATCTATCTATCTATCTATCTATCTATCTATCTATCTATCTATCTATCTATCTGTATGTATGTAAGTTCATTTTCTTTCTTTTTCGGGATGAACAAGAATGAATTTCAAAATGTTCTCTTGTTTAGTTTTCTGATTAGATTTTCGAAAGAAGATTGAGCTGGGAACCTTTCGACACATGCTGGTGCCAAAAGCCGTTCAGAAATATCTAAACTGTCTGCTATATACAACCACTTTCTCAGATCAATGGTGAAAATGGATTTGAGCGACTGATGCCGTTGAGTCTTCGTGAAAACCACAGTTATTTGAACACTTACGCTACACAGTCACAAAGATTGAACTGTATCAAATAACAGAAACAACATTACCTGAGAACTTTCAACAGCAGCATCAGGTAAAGTGGATATCACATGTAACTCGAAAAGAGAATAATGACATAATCAAGATGTTGAAATTCAACACTACTTCAAAAACAAAATGTTAGGAAGGAAAACCCCATCAATACTGGAAATAGCGATAACAGCTATATATATAATTTTTTAGAATTTGCTGTATTTACAAGAGAAGAGTGTACAATGTTTGAGATAGAGTGTTCATAGATAAATACGATTCTAGTAGAGCGATCAAAACTTCATGGTGATTGTCAGTGCGATAAATTTGGTGTGAAGATTGCTATAGAACGATAGTCACCATGCTATATTCATAACTATGTTCAAAATAACTCTCTCTCTCTCCGCTCTTTCTCTCTATTTCTCTCTTTCTCCTCCCTCCTCTATATCTCTCACTTTTTCCATATATATATATATATATATATATGAGACAAAATTTTATATTTAAATTATATTAAAATTTTCTCTCTCTCCCTCTCTTTCTTTTTTCCCTAAATTTAAAAAAAAAATTAGATTGAAATTTTTTTTTCATTTTTCTTTATTTTTCCCCTCCCTTTTTCTTTTGTCTGGACAAATTGATTACATTTCTAAGGAAACCTTTGGTCTGAAAAGTCATCGTGATTGTGTGTGTAAGCGTATTGGTGTTCTTCAAAGTACTGATATGACAGATTATGCTCGCTCTCCCAGAACTAATTTGCTCTCAGCATAGTTGTAGTAGAAACCACAGGTGGACTCTGTGGGTGTTGAACAAAGACAAATATGCCTGAGCAGTTGTCTGCGACAGGGAATGTCTAGCCACCTTTGCAGTCGGGACATTGAAATCCAATATAGTTCACAAAATATATTCCTGCTGATAAATACAACACACACATATGTGTCCGTTGTGTATCCAAATTCCTACTGAAAATTTCAAAGAATTTGAACAAAATGTACAAATAGTAGATACAGTACAGACATTTTGATGGAGGTAACAGGAATGGGATAACTGGGATTCTCACTTTATCAATATGAGTATTTCGAAAGAAACATTGGAGACTAGTTGCAATTACGAATATGTTATGGACATAAAAATATTTAATGCCCTATACATTTGAATAGCACCTCTTGTACACAAACACACACGCGCACGCAAAAATACAGACACGCGAACATTTTAGCATTATTGAATTAATAATATACATCTATCTATCTCTCTCTCTATATATATATACACGCACACACCCACACATACTTATAAGGTTAAAGGTTAACGCTGAATCAGACCAGGAAACAGTAGTATTAAAACTAGTATTTTATTATATATATATATATATATATATATATATATATATATATATATATATATGGTTCAGTGGATAAAAGCGTTAATTGATTCAATAACTTTACCCAAAAGTTGTCAATTCAATATCTGGCTCCTGAGACATCCGGAAGAGGCATGGCGCGTGGAACCAGATCAAAATCCCTGGTGGATAAAATAAAGGTTTCAATTCGAAATTACAATCATCTGATGAAGACCGGAGCGTACAACGGCCGAAATGTCGAAGAAATATATTGCTGGTAATATTTATTAATTTTAAAAAATGTATTGCTGGTAAGTTTTTTACTATGAAAATGTATTACTGCTATTATTACTATAATTTTTTTTTTATACTTTCATAGTGCTTCCACCTCAATGTGGGGGTTAACTATTTATCCAGAGCTGGTACCCTAACAGGTGTTACCACCCCAAGTTAGGGTGTACCTGAGAACAGCAGCAATTAAGAGGTAGTTACACGCTCATCAAAACCTCCAACCGATCTATCAGATGCCTTGTCGCCGGATGTAGTTTATCGTCATACCCAGGACAGTATTTATACATACATACATACATATATATATATATATATATATATATATATATATATATATATATATAATTTATTCGAAAATTATAACATAAAATGTTATAAAATCACTACAAAAATAGCCATTTTGTTTCAACACTTCTGGTGTCTTATCAAGTGATGGTGTTGAATGTAGAATAAATGGTTTTAAAAGGTTCAAATCGACCAAACACTCCTTGCTAGGGGAAACGCTGTTACATAAGCTGCAATGACCAATCAAAATACAAGTATAAGAGAATTAAAAAAAAAACTTGACAACGAACCTTTGTTATAATAATTAATGCCTTAATTTTAGGGTTAGACTACAATAGAAATCAATCTGATTAATATTAAATTTTACTATAAAATTAAAAATTAAAATTATATACTTGTATATCTATCTATCTATCTATCTATCTATATATATATATATATATATATATATATATATATATATATATATATATATATATATATATATATATATATATATATATATATATAAGAAAGGAAGTAACTGACCATAATATTCAGGTGTTGTTTTTCTATTGCAGGGTTATGACCTGAGTAAAAGCAGTGAAACCGTAGAATTCAAAACCTGTTAATTCTCTAAGTCTGTATAATAATATTTAAATGACCCTTTTGACTCGGAACTTTCGCTGAATAGCATCAGTTGGACACACCAGTAAACAACCTGAAAAGATATATTACAGCTTAGTCATGCTTGACATCACAGGTAGAAACATATTTCTCTCTTTCAGATGACAGCCAGAAGGACATTCAGGTGTAAGGTCGCATATATACTGACAAAAAGACAATGAAGACCTCTGCTTATAAATAGACATTGACAAATACTTTAAAACGAACTTTCTGTTTCACTATAATCTATCACAAGCACATTCTTGATGCATAAGTATGTATAATGCGCGATCTCGTCTATCGTCTCACTTATAAAAATTTTATCATGTATCTCGTGTATAATACGAGTCCCTTTTTTGAGATACCAAATTACCATAGACTAACCTCTTTTCGTCTATCTTTTTAAACCATTTTCTAGTTAAATAAGTAAAAAAAGTAAAAAAGAATAATAAAAGTATCGTTAGTAAAACGCATACAACCTTAAACAACCAAACAAGAAACAGCTGAACATCTTATAAATCTAAACAATGGAAAAAATACATATTCAGTTTTTATTTTATAATACGATAATAATATGTGAATATTACATGCATTATTATTGGATACATTTAACTAAAACATCAGTTTTATCAAAATCATGTTTATTTTTAAATACTATAGTCAAAGGATATATAGTTTGGTCAATGGAGTAGGTAGGGCCAGCAGTACATAATTTTCTATCTCGTGTATGAGGCGACCCCCTTAAAATTAGCTTAAAAATTAGATCTTCAAAGGTCGCATGATACTTGAGTATATACCGTATATACTTTTTAATGACATGTCTTTTCAGGACGTAAACGCTCACTGATTTTCACAGATTCCTTTTTTATTATCTAAGAATTGTCATGACTTCTTGTCCTGGAATGATTTCTTGTTCAGTAGGAGTGATTTCCTGTTGTCTTCTCTACAATTTTGAATTCCAAATTGTTCTTCTCCGAGACTGGCTACCACCCAAGACTAGAGAGTCCAAATCCTGTTACTTAACTATTTAATTAACTGGGGAAGAAGTGAAGGGTCATGGTTTACCCAAGATCATCAGTGCAAATGTTAACAGACTTCTTTTTCTTCTTATGTGCCGTGTCCTTTCAGGACGTAGGCGACTATGGCTCTCCATTTCCCTCTGTCCCCCGCAGCTCTCAATACGTTTCTTGCCTCTGTCAACTATTAACGGACTAGTCAGTTTAAATTTGTCAATTTCATTTTCCAGGCGATAACCGCCACGCTAACCGTATTCTTAATATTTACAGATTTTTAAGATCATCTCACTCCAAGCATGGCGATAATGTCACTAAGGTCATCTTTGGGAAGAGAATGAAATGATTTTAATGAAGAAAAAAAAACAATGAAGACAATAAAAGAACGAAATTCAGGAAAACAAAAGATGGCGATTGACGTTGCATTTAAACTTTTGAAAATTGAAGCAATAAATCAGAAAAAGACTTCTACAGGCGAGAAATGCGAGAAAAGAATCTATTAGAATAGAACTTACAGTCATATGTAGCTATTTCAATAGTAAAACGATGAGACTTAGCCAATCAAGTACTACGCTTAAATTCATGTGGTCAAAGTAACAAGGAGGGGAGCTCATTAGAACAATTGCCATGAAAATATTTATAGACAGATGGAAGAAAAGTCACGGCGGTGAGAAAGTCGAGATGCCAAGTCAGCACCGATAACATTACAGACCCTTCTTTGGATTTTGTTGAGAATCTAGAGATATATATATATAGTCGGAAGACCAGACCAAATATGGCAGCAATATTCAATGCACGGACGAACGGTAGATTTATAAATATGCAAGATAGATTCTGACGAGAAAAATTGTTTGGTTCGACACAGTGAACCGACTTTACTAGCAGTAGACCCAACGATTCAATATAATCACTCCTCTTCATTTCAGTAAAAAAAAAAAAAAAGTGAAACCAAGAAGGCACCATTAGTTGCTTTCCTAGAGGTTAGCATCAGTCATACCGATGGAGGGCAAAAATGGTTCTCTGTAAGTGAATGCAAACTCCATAGTACAATTAGCTTAACTAAGCTTATAATTACAATTCCAACGAATAGAGTTTATAACAGATTTAGACTGAATGTTATCAGAGCAGGCAATACAAATACAAAAATACTTATAGCTATG